CCTGGCCATAGATCGTGATGGATCCAACGGCCAAGATCAAAACACCCCTACCCTATATAAACTCAATCTCCCAAACCAGCCCCCTAACTAAACCCCCCCTCGTCTTCATGTTCATCATCGTCCCTAAGACGATGCCCTTCCCCCAAACCCTAGCCGCCCTAACTTCNCCCCCCTCCCTCTCCTGTTCATCATCGTCCCTAAGACGATGCCCCCAAACCCTAGCCGCCCTAACTCCCCTCTCCTGAAACCCAGCGGCAACTACGCTGTCGGTCACCAAACCAACACCCTAAGACCACCTGACCATCCTTTATCCAAATCTGGTAACCACTGAGCTCGAATCTTCCTGGAGTTTCTCGAATCTTCATTTGAAGATTCGAGCCAAACTCAGTTCCAAACCAACCAGTCCGTAATTAACACCACAGCACCCCCTAACCACCCTCGTTACAGATCTGTTAGTTGTTCACCTTGAATCACCTTATATCGTCTCGAATCTTCAATCTAAGATTCGAGCATAACTTAAACCTACCCCAATGTACCCCAAACCCACACCAGTCACTCTCCTAACCTCACTCGTAACCAAACCAAACTTGGTTTGGTTCGAATCTGACCAGAAGCGGTTGAGCCCTAAATCAGACCCTCAAGAACCCTAAAATCCCAAATCTTGGATCTGCCCAAATTAAGTAGAAGGTTGAGGTCTAATCGACCTTAATCGAAGTATTTTCAGTTGAAAATACTTCGACTAAGGTCTGTTCGATTTCAAAGTGTCCGAATCAGAGTTTCGAAGACTGGGTCCGTATAATTCTGTTATTATGAGGTATTTTCTTTCTTTCCTTCGTGATTGTTTTCATTATTTACGTATCTGTTTATTTACTATGTTGATTTTGGTTGTTGTTAAGTCACATTGACTCTATTCATTTTCAAAGGACCTTTTCTTTGGTCCGATTTTGTCTGTTATTTATAGTCGCCTTAACTGTATGTGTTATAAATTGTGAAATCGAGTCCTAAATTGCGTCGCTTAATTAATTCCCTGTTAGTCTATAAGTTCGTCAATAACACTGTTTGATAGTTATTTTGTTACTGAGTTGTTTAAGTGTCAATTGTAATATGCAATCGATTAATTGAATAGGTCGTTCATATTGAGTCACTTGGCATCCTGTTGATATTAGTGTCCGAGTGGTCTCATGTGTGTTGTGTTTGATCCTTTTTCTCTTAATTAGTCATCATCTTGCTGCATATATTTCCGTTCAATGTGTTTACAATGTTCTGTATTTAGGAATTGTGTTAGTTTACTCCATGTATATATGTCATTTGTTATTCTAGTTAATTCAATATGGTTATTTCCTCATTCATTGATCCCTATTATGATGCTACTTGATCTGATTTGGTTATAGCTGTTCAATCAGAAACTAGTGTTGATAATTAAGTTTGAACAGATTGTAAAATCTATTTTGTGTTGGATTCTGATTTTTGTATTAGGGTCAGTATTATTGAGAGTTTTCAGGAGTAGTTAAGCGTTAGTTTGGGGAAAATAAACTACATAAATACTTGTTTAAGGGCTGCTGAATATTTAAACCTGTTAGTGGACTAATTTGAGACATTCCTAAGTGGGTTTGTGTAAAGATAATAGACAACTAATGGTAGGGTTCACGTATTTGTTTAAAGAATACTGGGGAACAAAAGAAAATGGGG